TCCGCGCTATATATAACCTGGGTCCTAGAGTTTCTCTCCGAGAGAAATTCAAAGAGATAAACATTCTGACTGTAACTTCACAATATATTTTTGAAAATTTACTTTATGTTCACAAAAACGAACCTGATTTTGTCAAATTGTCTGATCTTCACTCCCGAAATACTAGGAACAAAAATAATTTAACAGTTCATGCTACTCGCCTTCATAGAATAAGCAACTCGTTCATGGGTCAATGTATACGCTTTTACAATAAACTTCCTATGGATGTTCGTAAACTTCCCCTTAAGAAATTTAAATTTTTTATTAAATCAAAATTATTAACTAAAGGATATTACAGGATATCTGATTATTTAAATGATAGAAACGCCTGGGATTGAGCTGCTCGCTTATACAGCTATCGCTTGTGTTTTTTTTAAGCTGTCTTTCACTTTTTTTTTTTTGCATGTTGTACATATTTACAATCTGACATGTCTTGTGCTTTTGCATATTCATTTTTTTACATTTTTTTTTCTCTACATTACTGACATGTTTTGTGCTTTTGCATACAATATTTTACACTTTGACATGCCAAGTGAATAATGTTTATATTACGATTATATTTTTCAATTTCATTATTTTTTCCTTGCTTTAAGGTACACCTTAAAAATACATTTTGTATCCATTGTAAGTGTAAACATTATGCGGGTATATCATAAACTCTTTTGCTTGATTTATAATTTGATACATTTTAGTATATAGTTATTTTGGGCTGGCGATCTGAGTGAGTTGTTGCCCCACATATTTTTATGGTGCCACTGGCGGTATTGCTGTGTACCGGGTTGTGCAGCTCCTCAAAAATGGTTGAGCTGCATGAGCTATTCGGGGCATGCTTGCCGTCTGCTGGCACAGGCTTGCTCAGATCGATCTGGTTCTTTCTTCCAAAGACCAGTCCAGTAAATACTCTGCATTTGTTTACACCAATTTATTAATTTATTATTGTATTATCTGGACTATAAAAGAGACTAAGACCCCCGAGTTTGTTTCGACATTTCTTCTCAGGGCAGTCAGTTAGGAAATGTCGACTTCATCTAGTTTAGGATGACATTGTAAAAGTGATTTATATAGTCCTACTTGCAAGAATAAACTATTTCATTTCATTTCATTTCATATTCGCGGATTGGCGGACAAAGAGTCCCCTTCGGGAGTTGTGTGGTAGAGTTTGCATGGATCACATGTTCACACGTGGATATCCTTTCTATATCATATTTTCATATCTAATTATCCTCCTTGTTGCATTTGTGATGTTTGAAAAAATAAAATAAATATAGTCTATAAACATCTGTTTTACACAATAAAATACGGTGATAAAGCGAAGGCTGATCACCTACTTATAATTCCCTTAAAGGATGGCAATCGCGGTTTACAATAATTTACCAAAATCATTAAAATATCTACCGACTAGAATTTAAAAATCGACTTAATGTACTACTTTTGGAAATGAAATATTGTTCTATAAATGCGTGAAACATTTTAATTAATATAATAACGTGAGCAATGTTGGCCTAGTGGCTTCAGCGTGCGACTCTCATACCTGAGGTCGTAGCTTCGATCCCCGGCTGTGCACCAATGGACTTCCTATGTGCACATTTAACTACTGAAGGAAACAGCTTGTCTTCGACCCAAAAAGTCGCCGGCTTGTGTCAGGCACTGAAGGCTGATCGCCTACTTGCCTATTAGATTTAAAAAATAAATTGTGCGTGTACTAGGTGTACACACGTAAGAAGTGAAACTTCTTTATGATCTTATTTTTCGAAAAATGATCTACTATATGCAACTTTACAGAAATTCGTTAAATTAGATAAAGTTTAACGAAAGGCTTTTATTATCATAGACATGAATACAAATATTTTATTTTACCTTATTACTACGAAGATTATTATAGAATTTCATTAATTGTAATAAAATTATTACTATCATTGAAAAACGTGACGATTTGCTACAAAATTTCTCCCATACGTCGATAAAGAAGTTTCATTCCAACGCCGATAAAGGACTTCAAAAAGCAACATGGCGCGTAACCGAAAAATGTGACGCGTAACGAAAAAATGTTACACTAAATTTTTTTCTAACCTCGATAAAGAAGTTTCACTTCAATTATCATGAGCAGAATCAGATCTGATGAACCTCAGAAATCGGAGGCCAAGACCTAAAGAGGTTGTAGCGCCACTGATTTATTTTTTATTTAATTTAATGTATGATATAAATAATATAACAATTGAATATAATGACTCATAATGTAACTTTTATGTAATATTCCTTTTAAGACAAATTTGCACGCCACTGTGTGGCAGAATATGCTTACAACTTTCGATTCTATCACCATAACATTATGTACCATATTCTTACAAATAAATTATTATTATAAATGTAAAATCAATGTTTTCTGTTCAATGATGCGTTCAGGATGTCCCTCGTAGGGCGTTGGCAATGTTTGGTTGTGCAGGGGTGGACCTCTGAGGCGCGTGCCAGGATCCCCTAACAGCTCGCTGGTAATAGCGGGAAAGATTGCCCTTACATTGGTCATTGCAATAGACTGTTTGTGTTTTTAATTTTATGATTGAATACTTTAAAGCTAATACAATATTTTATGGTAAGTATTGGCTGCTATTCCATCTGATGTTGGAGATTTTTAAAGTGAAGTTTTAGGCGCATGAGGGTAAAATGTTTACGGATGAAACGCAATAGTAATATTAGCGCCACGAATATGTGCAGCGTTTTTATCAAAGAAAAGGGAGAGAGCAATTGAGAGAGATTGAGAAGGGCGAATTATAGAAATTCTATTTTTAAAATTAATATTTCGTAAAGAGAATATTATATGAAATATTAGTATTTTATATTTTAAGCAAAATAATTTATTGAAATGTCAAATGACGAATTGTAAATTAAAATGCCACGTGTTTTTAGTATCGATGAAATAAATAAAAAAAATTGTATTAATTTTCGATAGGTAGATTTTCGATTTTAGATTGACTTTTAATATTTTCGTCACAATTAAATTCATTAAATTCCTAACATATTATCTTCCTTTTTCCCTCTCTCTAAGTCTCGGAAATATAAAATTTTAGATTTGTAGATATTAATATTTAATAAGAACAAGACTTAAAAATTTGTATGCCAAAGAATTTTCACTTCTGACATGTGTACTTTGTACTTTTTTATTATTGATTTCTTAATACCCCCGACTCTTGCGGTACCTTATTTTACAGATATATTTTGGTAAATCTCCTAATATAATATATTTCTTTTCCCATTCCTATATATACATAGACCAGTGGGGGCCCGTCTCGCCTCGCCTACGCTCTTGTCACAGTGACGTTACTGGAGACGTCAAAAATAAATGTCAAAAGTCTGACTTCCGTGCGTCAAAAATGTATTTGTTTTTGAGATATATGGGACTAGCGTCTTATTACTCTGCCTAAGTCTCGTGTCAGAATGTTACCCTAAAGTCAAAAATCATCTATTCATATAGGTAACTAAAAAAATAAATATACATTAAATGCTTCTAATTTTACATTTACTGCCAGTTCTCAAATCAAGGGCGTATAACGGAAGAGAAGAACTGGCAATAAACTCTCCGCCACTCCTTTTAATCGCCAAGTTTTTTGTTTTACACAACCTTTGTAAGGAGCTGCAACCATTACACCTTGTTGCACATGACATCTTAAATAATAAATAATAATGACATAAATTAAAAACAAAGAGATGTCCTCTATTAGCAGGAAGCATGGTGAAATAGGAGCACGCACTTACATTCTCATAAAGTGTCCAAACCCCGGCCGGTATCAATAGTTTTATCTAAACGTAATTAGCACTTACCTACTAAAGCTAATTACATGACTAATAACTGCAAGCGCAAATTAACTGTTCAATAAAGACTGACTTACAAGTTACAGCCCTTTTTAAGGGACTTGTACCACCTTCTTGTGGGATGCCACAGCTGCCAGAGGTATTTCTGATCTTCCGGCTTATGGTCTTTCAATGAGCCTCAAAGGTAGACAACACAAGTCCATGGACGGTGGCTGGGTCACATACTAAAATTCCCTCAAATGACGGCAACACAAGCCCCTCGGTGTTCCAGATGTGTATGGGGAGTGGCTAGCACTTTATTGAAAGCGACCCGCCTACTTGTATACGTCCAGTCCCGTAAAAATCTAAAGACCTACGTGCCTAAAGAAAAATCAATGACATAGAGAAATTTAAAAGACTAACTAAATCAGCACTAATCAACACAGTGGAATTTGGTTTATGTAGGTAATTACTGAATTATAATATATAATAATTTTAATTATGTGTACCTACTCAAATAAAGAAAAGTTCAATTTAATTTAAATCGTTTGAAATATGAAGATGGTTTAGTTCGGTTCTAGTTGATTAATATAATTAGTAAATGAAAAAGAACTTGATTTTATTAGGCATAGATTTATTCAGTAAAAGTCTGCGATTTACCAGACAATTGTGCAGACAATTTTTGAATACGAATATTTTATATAACATATTCTTAATGAATAACATAATCATATATTTTTTCTACAGATTTAAGTATTATATTTACACACAGAGTACAAATCGTTTTAATATTTATAATCTACAACAGTATTACATATTCTAAATACAGATAAAAAATTATTAGACAAATGCTGAAAGTATAAAATATTATCTAAAGGTACATTAGGTTTATACATTTTTATAACAATTATGCAAATAAATAACACACACACAGCTATACAATAATACAAATACACAATTTATACAAATTCGGTACCAGAGATTATAAAACGAGCTTCACCCCGCGAGGGCTTAACCCTAAGAAAATGGCGGATGCAGTACGCATGCGTACACAACGAGTCAATACTAACACATTTTACATTTCAAGAAAGATCACGCTACAATACCATAAACATTAACACTGAACAGAGTAAAAAAGAACGATAATCGATATTTGTATAATCTGTATTAATCGATTATCTGTACTTTTTACGCGGGATCTTTCTTGACACAATCACTGCCACACACGATTCTTGATGTTGAGTTTGCAACGCGTTTGTTAGTATGTCCAGACATAGCAGTAGTTTGTACGTACTGCTGTGACAGGACAATATATCAGACACGTGCTTTTGAGGTGGTGTCGCTTCCCGTTTGAGGCAGCGTGGACGACCGCCGCGCCCCACTTTCTCCCGCATGCGCAGTCCTCCACCCCCTCAATAGAAAACACCCTCAATCAGCTATCGATCTGGCAAAAATGTTAGGATATTCCTCTATTTAGGGGTTTTATCTGTCAAGATGAGGTAATGACCTCGATACCATGGATATTTTCGGCTCTGTTTTTTTTAAACCAACGCCCACTTCGAATCAGCCAAAAACAATTATATACACTAAAGGAGTTTTTACTAACAACACGAGTTATTTAAAATGCCTGAACAGAAACCTAGAATTATTTGTTTAAACGAATACACGAAACTATTGATCTTGATTCGTTAAATTTTATGGAGTTTTTACTTAGCACAAATAATTATTATTATTCAAAACGAATAATAAATGTCTGGACAATAGAAACTTGGGCGTACAATTATTAGTTTTAAACGAATACACGAAAATATTGATTTATTCATTTAATTTTATCCCCTTTCGTAATGTATTTAAAAATTAATTAAGTGTAAAACAATATTTATATTTTATGAAATAACCTACAATATAATTTATAATTGAAGTACGAGCTTCCCTCGAGGTGAATGAACTCTCTGTAGCGCGATCCAGGATCCCCGTTCCATTTTTAAAGTTTTATACCAATTGTCAATAGTATAAATGTCTATGGTTGTTTCTTGCTATTTTACTTTTAATAATGAATCGTTTATTTAAAAAGTGGTTTTCAGATTGATAAGAAAAAACCGCACAAACATACATATTAAAGTAGACATGCAAATGTCATATTAATTATCTTATCAATAATAACAGTTAATTATAATTGTTGTCAAAATTTATGGTACGTAACGCTATAAAGGCACATTGCTATATCTCTAGAGGTTATGGAATTATTTTGACGTAAAATACAACAGCAGTCGAAATACTGTATTTATACATTATTTGTTAATTGCAAAATGAAAAACGACAGTAAATATTTTCTATTTGCAGTGTTATTCTCGCTTTAATATTGAGATTGACACCGATTTTTCTGAATTATATCTCCAAAGCATTTAATGTGATCAACAGAAGTATATATTATATAAACGTTATCTGTTACTTGTCTCTAGAGGTTATGGAACTATTTTGACGTAAATGGATATGTCAAGGACTGACCAAGTCGAAATACTTTATTTTTACTTGACTTATATTTAAAACGTCAATTACATATTTTATTTGTTAATTATACAAAAAACCTTATTTTGTAATTGTCGTTTTAATATTGCGTTTAGATAGAAATATATTTCGATCAGATTGAATAACGATTTTTCTCAATAAATTTATATTTAATTCCAATACTCTTAAGCTTCATATAATAATAATAACTAAAAATTGATACATAGAAAATTAGAACAAATTTTTGTCCCTGTGTAAGTACCTTTAACGCTGGCAATTCTTCGCTGTATTGCGATACTTATTCGTTAAGGAAAGCACCACCTCTGGTTATCTACCAGGGACCTTCATTTTTTTTTTTCATTATATTACATGTACAAAGCATTTAATAGCTTGCTAACCTATAAACATTTATTGTTCAGAAAACCCGCTATTTTTGATGGAAAAAATAAGTGAAAGTGTTGGCACAGATTACTCGAATCGATTTGATCTGCTTTTAATTTGAAATCTATTGTTAGCGGAAGATGCCATTGCACTGTCTAGTAATTCAACGACGATACAAGTTATTGCCTTAAAATAATTAGTTTTTTATCTCGATTGCTGCGAGTAACATTTAGAATCGCGAACTATGATATCTCTCTATTTAGTTGGTAGATCATCTGAGCAAGGCCAGCAAGGAAACATCTGGAACGGACCGTCATCGTACATCAAGTCAGAATACAAAATACCATGCGTATCACCTGGACGTCCGTCGTTCCACAACTGTGCGTTTCTAAATGCAATTTTTGCCGCCACTATTATGTGGAACCACTGAAGTATTTCCGAACCAATTCGACTTAGGGTCCTTCAAGAAAAGGGCGTACCAATTCCCAAGACCGGCAGCGCTCTTGCGAGCCTTCTGGCATTGAGTGTCCATGGGCGTGGTATCACATAACATCAGGTGAGCCTCCTGCCCGTTTGCCCTGTAATAATAGATCCGAGTTGAGATTAAATTTCATTTCGTTTTTTAAAAACATTGAATTGAACAGGAGTACTCCGCCAAGTCTTGACGCTTTCTATAAGTACTTACCAATTATTAATAGGCAGTTAACGCACTCGCAAGCCCTCTGGCATAGAGTGTCCATGGGCGTGGTATCACTTAACATCAGATGGACCTGCTGGAGCCTACCCCTATTAAAAAACCCTTAAATCCGAGTCAAGATTCAATGTTTCTTTTCGTTTATCAAAAATATTGAATTGTACTAAGCTAAGTTTAGACGCTAAAAAAATGCTAATTAGGGGCCGTTCAAGTATTAAGCAAGCAGATTTACTGCAATTTCTCTTGCCCCTCCTCTCGTCAGCAAGAGTAAGCAAAGCTCTCAAATATAATAGTACATATAAACGTATGTATTCATTTTTGGTAGAAATCCTCGAAAATGTATTTCGTTTTGAAGCATAGACAATGTGTGGGTAATATGTGTAAAAAAGTAAATAATTAGGTACTGTTGACATTAGCACCAAATAAGAAAATCAAAGACCCCCTCCCCCTATAGTGCTTACGTAACAGTTGATTGACCCCTTATTAAACTGAGTATTATTATATTGTAGCACACACTGAGGTAGGCATGAAGTCATATATCATTTACATTTATGTCTTATCTGTGGACATCTGTCACGGAGGGGTTGCTAGTTGCTACAATAGATTCTTATAAGATAAATTGAGGATGGCTACACTGATTTATTGCTTAACCCAGCTTAGGACTGTAGTGTCTACGCTCGAAAATTATTTGTAAAAAGTTTTATTTACGAAGAAAAAGGAAATATTTTTTGAAGTGAAACTTCTTTAGGCTCATGAGGGTAAAATTTTTATGGTTGATACGCAATAATAATATTAGCGTCACGAAGATGTGCAGCGTTTTTGTAGAAGAAAAGGGAGAGAGCAATTGAGAGAGAGTGAAAAGGGCGTATTACCTTATAGTAATTCTATTTTTAAAATTAAATTTTCGTAAAGAGAATTATATATATGTGTGAATAGGTGTAAGTAGTATTTAAGATAACAATAAATCAGATTTGAATATTTCTCTGTCCTCTCGCTTCCTCTCGAAGTGGCGCAGACTTCCAAGCCTTTAATTATCGTGGTGATGCCCGGGAGCCGGTTTCCTCACGATGTTTTCCTTCACCGTACGAGCGATGAGCACATAGACAGAAAGTCCATTGGTGCGCAGCACACTAAAGCCGCCAGGCCAACACTGCTTTCAACCAAAAATATTAATTAGAAATAAAATTATTTTACACATTCGACTTCAAATATATAGTTTAAAAAATTAGTAAAAGTTTACACTTCAAATTGAGCAGTGTTTGCCAAGTGGCTTCAGCGTGCGATTCTTATCTCGTCTGAGGTCGTAGGTTCGATCCCCTGGCTGTGCACCAATGGACTTTCATTCTATGTGCGCATTTAAGATACGCTCGAACGGTGAAGGAAAATATCGTGAGGAAATCGTTTTGTCTAATAGACGAAAAAAGTGCTTCGTATGTCAGGCACAGGAAGCTGAACACCTACTTTCCTATTAGATTGACAAATGATCATGAAACAGATACAGAAATCTGAGACCTAAGAAGTTTGTATCGCCACTGATTTATTGTATTTAATTATTCACTTGGAATTCTCAATAAATTTGTAAAACTTTACATTAGTACATCGAAAATTGTTCAAAGTTTAAAATTTATTTTAGTATTACATAATAATCGATTCAAAATAAATCTCATAATGAGAAAGTTAGAACTCACTTCTTAATTTGATGTTTCATTCACAAATAATAATACGCCATAGCTGATGGCCGTTGAAATTGAAAGTTATTCTTACTTGGAATAATCAAAATACCTCACGATATTTTATTTACCATTCTCTGAAACTAAGCACAACACACATATTATATAATTAGTATTGGGATACATAATACAGCTAGAACATTGCTACATACTTTACAGTCAAGAGAATTCGTACTAAAGAGTAAAGACTCGTTTTCGCGGCATATTAAATTTCCTATTTTTTTGTTTTTTGAAGTTATACTTCTTTAGGCGCGTTATGAAAAATTGATGAGAGTGAAATTGTACGATGCGCGCGCATCGTGATACAAAATTAACAGAACGAAGTTGCCCATGGAAGATGCTACGCCATTGGACATAATTGAAAAACAACATTCGAATAATAATAGAATTTATGTTCCACTTAATGTAAGAGAATAATAATAAATATTTATTTATTTAATTTTTCAAATGTAAACTGAACTTTATTGACTATAATGACTCCTTTTCCAGTCTTTGAATATTTAATTGTAATTAATTATTTGAATGCAATCAAAAACTATTTTTAATAATGCCAAAGAAGTATAACTTCTTACGCGCGTACATAAGTACACGCACCTTTTTTTTTTTGTTTAACGCCTAACGGGCCTTTGCAGGTCTAGAAAAAGAGGGTTGAAGGGAAGTGCGGGGGGAATAATGCTTAGAGCGCGGAGCACGCAACGGATTGATTCAAATTTCAAAGATCGCGCCTTTCGGGCTTCGGCATTACGAAGTACGAACAGGATTTGCCATTCGGATTTCGGCTCGGGCGACAGTCGGCATCTTGTTTCAAAGTTTGTTTATTTAAAATAAACGGAAACCAACCGCAATAGTACGCGAAGTCGAATAACTAGTAACACTAATTCTCATTTTGTTAACAAAATGGACACCTAAAAGAAAGAATTTGAAATAAGAGGAAAACATTTGGAGCAAAAAGTATTTTTAATGAAATCTACAACTGATATAGAGGGCAAAATTTTCTTTTCGATTTAAAAGTATAAACCTTCGTTGTTACCATGTGCCAACCTAAATGTAGTAATTAAGTAGGCGTTATTAGTCAAAAACTTTTCTGACATCGGCTTAAGACACATTTTTCAGCGTTATGAAAATCTTATTATTCAAAAAGGTACAGATGCGATCTGCTAATTTTTTCTTCTTGAGAACAGATTACGAAATATTATGATTTATATCTATAACTTTTTTATTTCCTGCTTTAAATTTATCTAATAATCATACCGGTGAAATGTTTAAAAAAATATTTTTTTTTTTAATTAATTAAACATACTCTGGACTGAAATTTGCTAGGCAACCCATATGGATTATATTTATTGACATATTAAATTATATATAAAATAAGTTTCATTAAATAAGCATCTCGGTGAAGGTCGTTGTATAGCGGGATCTTAGACCAAAAGGTTTTATTCTATCACCAAATAGTTTAATATTAAAACCTATGTTAATATTATCAAAATTGTTGATTAAAAAGGCGTAATTACATGTATGTATAACAATTAATTTATTTAATTCATAATATCAAGATTTAAATTACCCATAGACACAAAAGCTTGCTAAATTATTAATTTTTTTCTTCCCGCCATAGGTTGTCGCCATTATATTTTAAGTACCTAACTGTCATTATATTAAAGCCGCGCCTACACAATTCGCATCCAGGGACGCTCGCAAGTTATTGGAGGCGTGTGTGTCATCTAATGTGATTAAATATTTGCAATAGAAATTGAGTCTTGCAAATAAACAACTTCATTACATAATGTACGTATTTACAGGGTAAGAAGTAACGACCTAGTACTTATTAATCTCTATTGTACTTACTAGTTACTATATAATATTATCTCAGTAATTTAAGCGAATTTTGTCTATAAATGACTAAGGGACCATTTCACAAATTAAACAGTAAAAGTTATGTTAAAAAAGTAAAGATAGATTGCTAAACTTATATCAAAGTGCCAAATTTTGAAAATAAAAACAGTCAAGACTACAATTACATTTTTACTAAAATCACTGCGATGTTAGATGTCCCTTTCGATGTGCAATAATTAATCTTTGTTATTAGGGTCTATGGGCAATGGTATAAATTATTGTCAAATAACAATTGTCATTTCTCATTAATATTCACAATTAAAAACAAAAGGATTTAACGGAAAAAGACAGTTTAAATAAATTTTTATAGATTATGGTAAAATTTAATGAAACAATTTATTAATATGAATGTGTTTTATTGGATGTAAGATATATGTTTTATGATAGAAATCTTACAACAAATAGGGACAACATTCTTTTTTCTAAATTGTTTATGGTTTTCGAACGCTCTATTCTAGCTTTTTTCTTGTTTTTCAATTGTTTTTATTTGAATAGAAAGCGTCTTGACGCGGATTATTCGCTGTCGCCGCGCTTATTGAAGCGTGATATTGTGTAATTTGTGGCTGCTGTGATTTAGTGCTAAAATGATGGTGTATTCTAGCGGTGCGCTTGGAGGCTTGGAGATGGTGGACGGAGAATTGGCAGCTCATGTGCTGAGCGCACAGGCTGCTGCCCATGCTGCGGCTACGGCTGCTGCTCATCAGCAGCAACAACAGATCGCTGTTCAACAAATTAGTAAGTTATCCTTACTTTGAGTCCTTAAAAGTAAAAGTTTACTCTCTTCACAGTCTGCAAACTGGCATATTTTGGAGATAACAAATATTGGTTTTTTAAGCATAGATTTCAAAGCATTTATCTTTCCATTATAATGATTGGAGCACATAAATAGACTGCATTTATAATTATTTATGGTTTATAATAAAATATAGAACTCATATCTGTGTAATTAAAATAAATTTTTATGTTTGTGTATCACAGGGCTAACTGAATATCAAAACTGATCTATACACATCTGTTTCCTGTGTGGAGTTTATTTTTATCTTATAAAATCTATGTAATAATTAATTGTGAAAGTTATGTTAGTATACAGAAATATTAGTACTGTATATATAAACTAATAGTGCTTTTTTTCATCTTTGATCATTGAAGATTTAACTTAATCAGAACACCACAAGACATAAATTTCTTTAACATTATGCCTGATGGAATGTTGTGACAAGGACTAACTTCCTTGAAGAACATTGAAAGTGTATCATATTTACATCACATTTAGATAGATTTTTCTATAACATAGTTTTGAATCAATTATCTTCTAATATTCATTTGGTTGTTCGTAAGTTTATCACATTGCATTAAGATTTCTGTGATATTTATTGTACACTTCTAATCTGGAAATTATTATTGAACATTAGCAAAATTTTGTAACTATCACAGGAATCTGAAATAAAATAGAACTTTACAAGTATTATATATAATTTGTGATTTAAAAATGTCTTTTACAACTGTTTCTGTAAATGCAAGAACTGATACACCCTTGATTTGAGAACTGGCACTAAATGTAAAATTAGAAGCATTAATATGTATTTCTTTACTGACGAGTCATAAGTGTACAATGTGTTACCTATATGATTAAATGATTTTGAATGTGATAGTTTAAAGTCTATTATATTGTTTATTGGCAGGTGTACCAAGTCAAATTTAAAGAATATCTGTTAAGCTTTCATGACACAAGCTGTGAAGGCCCTTCAATTTTCTTAATAACCCAATAATGATTAATTTGTTTCAACCACAAGTACCTTAATATTCATATAATTTTTTAGTGGGAAATAAAAGTCAAACTGTTAAACTGGAGTCAGTTTCACAGACTTCTCATGGTTATTAGGTTGTCATTCTGAACATAAGTTAGGTATTAAACTACATTCATGGAAGTATAATACGATTTTTTGTGTTGAAATTTGGGCTCTACCACAGGTTTTATTGCAAGTTTCATTTACCTTTACTTTAAATTCCTATCAAATAGTTTTATTTCATTGCAATAAGGTGTATTTTTCAATGTAAAGAAATAAATTGTAAAATTGCTTTGATTTGACTAATATTAATATGATTGCATCAGCCAGTTTATGTGCTTCTCTTCTTTTCTATGTCCTTGATTTAATAACTGGCAGCAAATATAAATTTTCAAGCATTAATATTTTTTATTGGTATAAGGGTCACATGCCAATATATGTACATTACACACCATATCCTCTAAAAAAAGTTCTTATTTGGGTTAGGACTTAGGTATGGTCAATCTTCAATCAATAAATCTCAAATCATAAGGCGCTATATGGAAACATATGCTGTATCAATTATTCTATAAAAAATCTTTCGCCACTTATCTCATTAAGGTGTAAAAATGACACCCCGGTCTTCCATCTTCAGAAAACTCGCCGTCGTCGGGCCGGTCAACCCCTGTTGCTACAAACACTGGTACCACATCACCGTCGCCGAGTAAACTGTTTGTTGGAGGTCTCAGCTGGCAGACCAGCTCTGAGAAGCTCAGGGAATACTTTGCTATGTTTGGAGCTGTCACAGATGTTCTCATCATGAAAGATCCTGTCACTCAGGTAAGTTTTGACAGTTTACTTGATAGATTTCATTGTTATTTTTGGTTTTGAGCAGGAAAACTATTTGACCTTTTATTAAAAATCTATAGAGTACTGGGACTGAGTAATTTGACAAAATTTTTTGACCATAGATTTTATGTCAATATATAAATTTCAGATTTTTTTGTGACTTTTAATTTTGCCTGTCACACATTATTATCTCTATTGGTCTATTAAAAGGCTTTTAAATGGTACAAAATTGCTGATGTTATGTGAAATTTAAGTACTTTTAACTCTTTATAATTTTAAATTGACCATAAAGTTTAGTTGTAACCGTAATGTTTACTTTTGCTTCTCAAAATCATTACTTTTTTTAATCACACATGAAGTTCAGATTAAAGGTTCTCCTTTTAATGGGTTGTTTCAAAGTTGACCTGCTCAAAACTTTATGCCTTTAATAAAGACTAAATTTTTTTACCTTTAAGTTTTAGATAAGTTAAATGAGAATTGAACATTTTATCTCTGTTTAATATTAGTCTACGATTAATAAGGTTTAAGTTTAATTTATAATAACTATTTGTTTAAGCTAGGTCTTATAATCCGAAGAATCACCGTCAAAAATGTTGTGACAGTGTCTCTATGATAAATAAATAAAACCGTTACCATATTAAATAACAAAACTCTCTTTTCTTTTAGTTTAATATTAAGTTTAAATTAAATAACTTTTTTTTTGTAATAAAACTGAGTTATGATCGCACTACAGTATATACTCTGGGATTATAAAGCAGTGTTAGTTTAGAGGTTAAGTACGACTTTCTACCTTGAGGTAGAAAGTCTTTGGGTTCGGTGCAGGCAATTAGTGGATTTTTCAGGAGCATTAATAATACTTAATAAAAATAAAAAGACCTGTGGTCATTACAACCTTTTAGGTCTGATTTTTGTATCTGTTTTGTGATAATTTTTCTAATAGGCATCCGACACCCTGAAGTTAGCTATAGTTAACATTTTAGTTATTGAAGTTATACCTCTTCTTTGCGCGTTAGGGAAAAATTATGAGATTTAATTTTTTCTACTGTAAGTGTCGTTTTTTCTACAAACGTAGAATAAAATGTTTATAAAGATTTTTGTCTTGTTACGCGAAAGAAGTATAACTTCTAACATGTGTACATAAGTACATAAGTTTTTTTTTAAATTAAAAACCTTAGGTGTTTTTAGATACTCAACGATATCGTAAATCACTGCGATACTGTCACCAAAATGTACAAATGAAATTAAATATTTTTTTCAAAAAACAGTTTGTTATATCAAGATGGCGTCCGAAACGCGGTCAGTGTATATTGAATGGGGGATATAGGGTGCGTGGTTGTATCATAAACCAAACTTGATTTAAATTTTTTGTATAATAATATATTTTACCTGGAATTTTTGATTTAAATCTGATGGTGATCAGTGATGCCAACTTCTACAGAAAGTTTTCCCTAAGGGAGCGTTCAAGTATTACGTCACGCAATTTTTAGAGATTATTGACCCTCCCCTCCCCATGTAACGCGCCGTAACGTTTTTCTGTACCCAAGTACAGTACTGTACCCAAGTATAGTAAAACTTTTGTGACCACCTAGTGACTCTTTATATGTACCTAAAAGTAAACCATTATGTGGTGTAAAGTACTGAAAAGTCGAAAATAATGTTAACAATAACGGCTTAATTCAATCCCCGTCCCGCATCGTAACGTTTTCCAAAAGGAAACAAATTCGTTACGTAATACTTGAACGCTCCCTAAGGAACAACTTCATATAGGTACCCTTGTATGTAACAGGAGGCTATCGGGCAGGAAGTTCATCTGATGTTAAGCGATACCTCCGCCCATGGACACTCAATGCCAGAGGGCTCGCAAGTGCAATGCCGGGCTTTTAAGAATAAATGAAATAAAATAAAAGTTTTGTTTATGATACAGTAGACATAGTTGGGCTATCAGATACGGATTAACACTGGCATGCTAGACTCACTAACGTCGAACATAGACTAAAACTATCTCTTTCTTCCGGTAATCCGTTAGTACCCCGTCTTTAGTTGGTATTTCTTTAATACGTCCACTATTTTTTATCACATTTTAGTAGATTTTTAGGTTTACACCTACAGTGTAAACTCTATATATAACGTCTTTCGCTATAACACAATTTTATTCACTCTTATAACTCTAATAGCGAAGAAATATTTTAATATTTAGACATTAACAACATATTTAAGTGGAATTGTTTTTATGATCAGCCAACAAAACTAAACTTTTGAGGTGCCGAAATATCTAAAAAGGCACTTGAGGTCATAAACAGCCTTGCGCCTTTGTTATTGTTAATTGCATTAACACGTGTGCCATTATTCTTAGAATACATTGCCTGTCATAGCAAAACACGCCAGCAAAGTTAACAGAATGTTTTTAGAATATTTTACCTATTTGGTTATTATTTCTCATCTTTCCGTATAACGAAAGTTCTCTATAACAAATATTGGTTGTCTGTAAAGTCGGTTTACTGACGATAGTTGAACGTGACAACGTCATAAGAAAATACTGATGGAATGGTTGTATTTTTCAAAAGAAAATTTTGGTATTTTGTATGGATATAGAGAAGGAGGTAAATGGAAATCACAATTAAATTGATCAAGTTACATTTATTTGTACGCATAAATACAATTATGTCAATTTTTTAACAAACGAACGCTGCCGAACGCGGAGGCCGATTGTGCCTCTTTGTCGCTCGTTTCGCGCTCTCGCTTGCACTTCAAGCCTTAAATGGAATGCCTCAGAGCGAGGTAATTATAAGACGTTGTCACTTAAAAAAAGGCTCGGTCCCTTGAGATTCGTTTTAAAGAGTTTACACTGTATATACACAAGACATCGACACTGGAGTTTATTTCTAAATTAAATGATTTGCTACGATTTTTTATTAGCTTCGTTTTGTAAATAGTGGACTTATTTAAATTTGGATAACGCGATTTAAACTATTTTGTTAGTAATAGCTATTTCGAGTGTTTGAAATTAACAAGATTTAGTAATTAGTCTAGATATAAAATGTAAATCTCTCCCAAGATGGTAGCGATACTGCTCGGTAGGTTTAGCCACGGTAACGAGCTAGTTATGTATGGGTTTTAAGAGTATTTCAAATAGATTTTAACTGTACAAATTTCTAGCACTAACGGTAACCGACAATATTTTAGTTAAGACTAATCTAGAATAAAGCATGAACGTATTTCCTGTACAAAACCCTTGAATTACTCAAGTATAAGTAGGTTGTGTTTTAGGTGTTGCCCTGTTTAGTTTATTTTTTGCCATTGGAAATCTAAGTATTGGATTTTGCCACTGATAGTTTGATTTCTATGCCTGTACTTCAGCTCGAGTTCCATTGGTAGTTTGTGTTTTTAATTAAATCAATTGTTTATGCTGAGGGTTGTCTGTAAAAAAATCTACCCTCAATAGTAAAATTTGTCGAGAAACACTACCAACGGTACTCGGGCGCTCTGAAGTCATACTAATAGGAGGCCGCGCAGCGTTCGCGCGGCTTCGGTTTCATCACATTTCAGGAGGCCTCATCCGTAGACAAAGTCCTCGCCGTGCCGGTGCACACCCTGGACGGGAAACGCATCGACCCAAAACACGCCACGCCCAAATCTGCCCCGAAACCGACTAAAACAAAAAAGATATTCGTGGGCGGCGTCGGGCAAGACACTTCCGCGGAGGAGGTCCGCGCTTATTTCTCGCAATTCGGGCTCGTTGAAGACGCGGTCATGCTCATGGACCAGCAGACGAAGCGCCATCGCGGCTTCGGGTTCGTCACTTTCCATTCCGAGGAGGCGGTCGAACGCGTCTGCGACATTCACTTCCACACGATTAAGAACAAGAAGGTGGAGTGTAAGCGCGCGCAGCCGAAGGAAGCAGTGGCCGCCACGCCCCTGGCTCTAGGCAAAAGATTGGTCCTTCGGCCCGGGCGCGGTCTGGTGTACGCGGGCGGCGTGGGCGCAGTGCCCACGGTAGGCGCCCACGCCTACCGCTACGCTCCGTACGCTCTGCCTTCCGGCGCCACCGCGGCCACGGCGCTCGTGGCTCCGCCGGCGCCGGCCCCGGCCCCCGCCATGCCGCAGTTCGGCGCCTCGTACTCCCTGGCCGGCGTTGACATGTCGTCCTTCCAGGGCATCGACTGGAGCGCGATGTACGGAGTGCCCATGTACATCTAAACTGATCGAGCGACCCCACCCGCCTTCGTTTAGGTCGCGCTGCGATTTTTTTTTTCAAAAACGGTTCCTACTAAACTTGCCGAGTCGCGGCTCAGTAGGTTAGGTTTTGAGCAATAATTGGCCCCACGCGGGACCCGACGCAAAGATTCGCATTTTTATTTGTAAGGCGAAGATCTCAGTTTTATTTTATTAGTTTGAAACTTTTTGTCTTGAATTTTATTCATATTCGTAGTATTAGTGCACGTTTGGCGATATTTGAGGATGGTGAATCTCGCAGCTATGTGGCGTTCGAGCGGACGTCGCGCGAGGCCGCGGCGGATGGATCAGTATTATTGAACTCCGTGCCATTGTCACGCGTTGTGCCAAAACGTTTTTTTTTATTTCGGAATGAGACCGGGGCTCGACTGAAGACACTCGACCCAGTATTGGAGACGGCATCGCTAATATTCGCATATAGGTCGCGACCCGCATTAAAGCTAAATGACGATTCACCAGAAACGGGAACGTCCCGCCCCGCGCCGTGCATCCCCGTGACGTCGCGCGGCGTCCGCCGTCCGCTCGCCACTTATACATATCTAACAGAAAAAGCAATCATTTGTACGCCATTTTATGATGTAGACGACGCTATTCCGTCGTGATTTTTGAGAGCCGACATTAATTTTTAGGTTAGGTTTGCCAAATGTGGACGTAATTGGTACGGTTTGAATACCGCCTCAGTATTATTGAGAAATTGTCGAATATTTTCAAGTACTAATGCTCAATTTTCCCTATTATTTAGATTAAGCGATACATTTTGGCAACTGTTCCAGTTCCTCTGAGTACTTAATGAATCTCAATTATAACTCATATCTTAAAATTAAGTTTATTAAGAGGCTAAGTATCTCAAAAATCACAACAGGTGACAATTTAATCGGACCGAATTGCGTTCGATAGACCACACATGCAACGACTTTCGATTCCATATTTAAAATTTGTAAAACTTTTGAGGGTAGTACGTACGACATTTTGAAAATACCCACATTTTAGTGATTTTTTTCAAAGTGAGAAAATCGTGTGTGTGGTCAATTGTCAAATAGCGTCATAGATAAGTAACGTGAATGCATACTAACACCTGTGTACGACAATAATTTGAACAGCCGTAGACAATGCCTGCCTTTGCCTGCCTTCGACATTACGTGGTCCTTGCCCTATTCTTAATTTTTTAATGGTAAGTATTTTTTTCGGGTGGAGGGTTTGAAAGAAAAGTTGTCTTAATTTTATGATTATAGCGTGTCTCTTTAAATTTGACGCTGCGCTGGAGTCCATAGAACATGACCAGGTGTTGTTCTAAATGATCTTGCCGGGTATCTTGCCTCTTAAAATGTATAGTAAAATTCACTGGCACAGCTTTTGTTTATTTATTGTTTAATTTAATTTGAAAGCTTAATTTCTCGGACTCCAGTGTACCGTGTGCGTACTTAATTTTGTAGTTTAGGTAGTTAGAATCTAAAACTTAAAGCAATACTCGAATATTTATATTCTGTGATTAGAAAAGTATTATAAAAAAGACGAATTGATGGTTGTGTTCGTGCAATTCCTAGTTTTTAAGTCAAAATCTCCGGGACTTGGTCCTTCCAGTGATCTTTGAAATCTTAGTACTTAACCTTATCTTGCTTTTCCATAACGGCAAATATTCACTCCAAAAGCACATTTTCCTCTAAAAATTCTTATACACGATAAATTCTTTGTTAAAAAAGTAGAATTTCTGATACAGGCTCAAAGGGTCCGTTCAAGTATTACGTAAGCAGATTTATTTATTTATTTACACTTTGTTACTTTACACAAAACATATCGCTAACAAGCGATTTCTTCCAGGCAACCCTAATATGGAACAATAAAAAAAGAAACACAAAAACTTAAAAGCTAATCCAAAGGTTATCTGAGTCACAATTAATATATAACGTATAAGTAGTAGCTAATTACGAGGCAGAAAAAAATGAAATTTATTCAAACAACCCCCTTCCCTTCAAGCTTCAAAGCTTTCAAAAGTAATAGTACGTATTAACGTATTAGTTTTCTTAAGAATCCTCGAAAATGCATTTCGTTTCAAGCACAGACAATTTGTGGGTAGTATGTGTAAAACAGTAAATAATTACTGTTGACGTAATCACCAAAAAAAACCCCTCCCCCCTACAGTGCTTACGTAATACGTAACGGTCCCAAAGTTCAAAGTGGATATTTGTCGTAGTGCGTAAATCTTGCCAGATTTCTCGGTATTCAAGTTGGTGACGGCCAGGCAGAGGCAGGTGGCGAGACTAGAGCCAAATGCATGCGAAAGCTTTGTCGACCACATTCCTACATAGGTCGACTTCCCGTAGCCCTGGTTTGGTTATCCCTTAACGAGATGCAATGTTTTGACATTGACAGCTCAGTGTTTGATACAGTGTGTCAAATCGGGGCTATCGTTGATATAAACGTATATACCCTTAGCAGTATTCTTATTGTAAGTAGGCTAGTTTTTTTCAGAGATTATTCGCTCGCATTTTTATGTCGCCCATAGTGAAAAGCATAAGAAAATAAAAAAATAAATGCAGAGGTTTGGACGAATTTGCAGAATGTGGGTAGTCGACATAAAAGTGTGACGGTATTTTCGCTTTGTTGGTTTAACTTTTGTATATTTTTATTTCACCCAAACTCTCAGTATTAAAGTTATTGTGACGTCGTTGCCCTCCGCGGTGACCCGCTGCGTGTCGTGCCAAAGACATCACCAGCGGTTCGCCCAATATACTGTACTTAATTTTTTTATACGTACTTATAGACATTTTCTATCCTGACGGTCGAATATTAGATGAAAATTTTGAAAAACTTACAGCGCAACGTGTAGAATTTGAGCTTTTCTGCCATTTGAAGTGTACTGTGGCTTGTCTTCAAATATTGGACCGTTGGGGCGCGGCAACCTCGCAGCCTAACATAGTTTATTTATATTTTTTTAATACACTTGTATTATTAGTTAGGTAACACTGGACGTGTGAGGTATGTTAGAAGTAGTTTTATTTAGTATGCTCGTAACCTGTAATTAAGCACTTAGATTGTGTCATTACATTGAATAATATTAGAAATGTGTGTTTTATTTCCATAGATTTTGGGGGTACACGTCAAATATAACACAGTGCTAAGTGCAGTTGGGCAGCGCATATACGAACTCTCGCGTCGATGGATGGCCAAAAACGCTTGTCTCATTCCAAAATATTGTTTATCTGTTGGCTGTTGATCGACGCGAGTGTTCGTTCAGCGTTTTCTGCGCTTAGTGTTGTGGTTTCGCTTATGCACGTTGGGTTAGTAGATTTTTGAGTGCATACATATGAAGGAGTGGGGTCTCGATGCGCAGCATGGTAAATAGTTATCTTGTGACTAACCTCTGGTCTTTTGGCATGAAGTCGAGAACATGCATCTTCCAGTGTCACTGTCAATTCTTACAGGCATTTGCCGCACTTGGTTGTGAACCGTGCTATTACGGCGGTCATGATGGCGTCCTTGGACGTCGTACTCCGCAAATACGTAGACACGTAGCGTAGACCTGTGTAGTGCGCTTCGCTTGAGGCCCACAGCCACAAAACGTATGGTCAAGGTATGGTCTAATGACGCCGAGAGGAAAGACATGGTGATCGCACTAAAGTTTCTAAAATATGCATGCTCTGCACATTCATGAGGCGATTTTATCGGAGTTGATTATACGTTCTGTGCTACAAGTCTTCCGTTAATCTGATTTGCCAAAAACAGGCCAAAATTGCATTGCTCAAAATGGCGGCAAAAAATTGAGTAATTTTCTTTGCCAAAACAGAGTAGATTAAGATTATGACAATAATGAAGGTTGGATCGCCTCAGTTGCCATAAGACAAAAACATTCCTTTTTCTAGTCATTTTATTAGTTGGTGGTGAATTGGACGGAATCCTACAGTTTCTATCTTGCTCAACTTCTCGCCTAAACTCATCTGTCAAGCTTCTGCAGTAGTGATGTGCCATAAAGCACGAGCACTTTGACATCTAGGGATGTCATTGCTTACGCGACTCCAGTTATTCTGGACCAATGTTAAATAGTATTCATTAAGATTATATACAAGTTTTTGATCAGTATAATAATGTTACAGACAAAAAATATCTTAATTCCGTGTGTTTTCGGCAGATGCTAGTGTAGTGTGTAGTGTAGTGATTTTGAAAATTTACATACATAATATAAGTATAACTTGAAGCAATAATTATGGTTACGCTAAGTGTATGATAAGACATCGTACAACATCATAACAGGTATTGCCAGACTTAAATTCCCTTAAGCAGGAGAAAGTTGGCAACATTTTTACAGTAGTAGCTCATATGCAAACCGGTGATTGCATCTTGGGACTGCTTGACATACTGTGGCATTGATGAGTTATTATACACCTACATATTATTATATTTTTGTATAATAAGTCGATGTATTCAGTAGCGGGTACTTGTATTTTGACCTGAAGTTAGTACTAATGTACTCAGTAGGCGTTCGCCGCTTGAGGCGTGCGGTCGTGTTTGCTTTCAACGAATAATTTAAATTTCTTCCTAATCTATAAGACGGCGACGCCGGCATTCACTGTCTGATAAGTTTCATCTTTATAGCTGGAGATAAGGTACTTAAAAAGTAAATTTATATCTATATTATTAAATATTGTCTACTATTGATTTAGAATGTAATATTATTTCTTATATTTTAATCAGTCTGTAGTCAGAGTTCTGTAGTTTGTAGCTAGTTTAAATTATTTATGATTATATCTTACTGTTGCAGCGATCACGTTGCTAAAGATTTACTTTGACTTGATGTGGGTACTTATTGGGATAAAAACAGTTTGCGTCGGCGGTTGCTGTAACAATCTCTTGAGATATAATCCACTGTCAGATTAATATAACCTAGTATAGTGGCTGTATGAACATTCCCTTCTTTATTTAAAAAGGCATTTTATGGTAGAATAAACAAAATAAATATAGAATAGATGGGCTGTTTCACAGACTGCTATTAGAATAAAGTGCAATATGATTTTATCATGTATACTCTGTGGAGGTAGAGGACGCAATGGGTTTCATTTGTAGACAAATATGGTTAATAAATAAATCCTACGCATGGACTTAGTAACTGAGGGTTCCGTAGTCAAACAATCGTGAATAATCTATGGATATTCAGAATCAGACACCGTCTTCGTTTGACGATTGTGTAATTTCTAAAACGGTAGATAAACGTTCTAATGACTATGGAACTTAAGTTTAAAGTATAATTCAATATGCGAATGGACATCATGGCTCTAAGTATGCTTTACTGGTAAATGTTAATGTATTCACGAACTGTGTAGTTTAATTACGTATAGACTAATAGTTGGGATCGCTAGAGGGTAGTTGGCCGCGCGCCTCCATCAAAGCCTCTATATGGTTCATCTTCACTTAGACGATTATTAGAAATAAATGGTAACAAACACAGTCGTTTTTTCATTTATCGCTTTTTCCGTACCTATTTTACTACGTACGTAGATGCTTTACCGGAAAACCATGACCCCCATGTAGTTTAGTAAGGACCAAACTTGCATGACAGTGGAGGCGGTAGAAGATTTGCATGAAACAGGTCCGGCCGGCGGAAACGACGAACGAAGAATGAAGATTTGGTGAGCGTCAACGTCAACTGTCAGATTCGTATCTACCCTCAGCTGTTATTTATGCTTCATTTTTTGTATTCCTATAGTAAAGTGCATCCCAGTATTATAGTGTAGCAATAGAAATGGTTTTGGGTGCTGGGTTTTTCGATACCGTAGCATAGTTTAGTTTGGAGATGTGATTTGGAATCGGTCGCTTAGTTTTCGTTGAGGTAGTGTAGTGTAGCGTTGGAGGCATATCAGGTATCATGTACCCCGGAGACACAAGATTGTGCCTTAATAGAATGTTTTGTTTTAAATTTGCTTTCGTTAAAGGCTAGAATTTTATAGACGTAGACAATGGACCAAATTAGTTTGGAAATGGAGACAATATTTTTTGTACAATTCTTTTTGAACCGTTGAAATTGTGATCAGGGTCTTTACCCAACGAATTAGATCATTCGTAGTGTAATTTAGATGAAAATATTGTGATTGACAAATAAATGGAGCTAGTACCCCTCTGTAGTACAAAGTATTTTTAACTATATTGAAAGTTGAGACTCGGCGTCTTCCTTAATATAATAGACTGAATAGTCACATTTGTATTTTTAACAATCCCGATTGGCTGGGATGCACTAGAATTGATTTCAATCTGTAACCGCACTTGTTTGTATCTGTTACGGCCAACTGTCACTTTGACAGTTGTCTATTACCGCGCGCTTTGACAGTTTTATTTTCTTACTAGATCTGAACAAGTGCATTTTTGTTCGAAGTAGATAAGTATCAGTGTTTAGTAGATCCTGTAAAATTAATCAGAGTGCCTCGTGTGACAATATCATCACACTCATTAAATTCCTCATTCTTGTATGTTATAACCTGTATTTTAGAAGGTATATGCAATATTGTACTATTAGTTATACTAGTCGACATGTTGTTTTTGTAAACAGGCTTACGCGACCTCTTTATTAACCTAAAAATTTGAACCGCTTTAAAAAACACGTGATCGCTCAACGAATTTCGGAGGTAGACTAAATTTTCAGGTACCCTCAAAGAGAGGTTGCGTAAGAATAGTTTAACTGTAAATATAGATAAGATTGTTATTTCAAACTGTGTGTATTTATACTTACATAGAATAGGTTTTTCTCTATTTAATATTTCTGAAAAACATAGTTTCTGACAGTAATTTGGAGACGAGGGATGAGAACGAGTGAAGTTAAAACTAATGTTAATAGTTCATAATTGTATTTTATTGCAGTGTTACCAACCATCATTAAATAATTGTGGTTTAAAATTACGAAACTACGTACAGTATAAAAACCAATTCACTGACAGTAGAATAAAATACAATTTATCTAAAAGCTCACTCGTTTCAACCCAATATGATATGATACAAAAGTGCCCCACGAATTTGTGAAATTAATCGTAATCAAAATTATCTTCCTATACATATTTATATTAGATGTAGTTTGCGATTGAATGTATAGATTTTTTACGACATATCTCATATGGCAACACAATTTTAAATTAATATTTAAAAGTTTGACAATTCTTATAGTGACGTTTTTATAAAAGTAGTCGTAAACAATTGAAGTTCATTAAAAAGTTAATTAAAACCGAAACTGTCACTAAAAATAAATATATCCATGCTCAATGTTGACTGTGTTGCCATTATTGCGATGGAGCTGCTTTGTGGAAAATGGTCGAAAGGACTCGTATCCCCGTGATGCATAGAGTAAATAAAAATGATCATGATATCATAATAAAAACCGTGTTTAAATATAATTTAACTGCAATTTTTTTCCAAAAGCAGCCGCATTGTGTATCTAGTCTGTAGCTATAGATAGTTCGGAATGGACGCATCTTATCAAAATGGTTATTGAATATATCTGTTTTAATTCGAATTGGTGTTTTATTTTAACCTTTCTACAGAATATAACACAATAGAGCAAACTAGAATGATTACTAAAAATATAAGCCGCACTAAATCCTCCATTTTACTAAAGCCAAGTTTTTAATGGTTAAAATTAAAAAAAATAACATTTTCTGTATCTGTTTCATGATCGTTTGTCAATCTAATAGGCAAGTAGGTGATCAGCCAGATCCAGTGCCTGACACAAGTCGTCGACTTTTTGGGTCTAAGACAAGCCGTTTCCTTCAACGGTAGAATGTTAAATGTGCACAGCCGGGGATCGAACCTACGACCTTAGGGTTGAGATTCGCACACTGAAGCCACTAGGCCAACACTACTCTCTTCTTAATGGTTACAGTTAAAACTAGGAATTTTTGTAAGCTTTTTAGACAAACGTTTCAAGTCAAAATCATTTAATATTTTAGGTAACTCAATGTGCACATATGAACGACAAATTATATATATGATATGCTTCTAATTTTACATTTTCTGCCAGTTTTCAAATCATGGGCGTAGAACGGAAGAGAAGAACTGGCAAGAAACTCTCCGCCATTCTTTTTAATCGCCAAGTTTTTTGTTTTTACACAATGTTACAAGCTGTAACCATTACACCATGTTCCACATGTCACCTTAAGTAATAAATAATAAGAAAATAGATTAAAAACAAAGAGTTGTCCTCTATCAGCAGGAGGCATGGTGAAATAGGAGCACGCTCTTACATTCTCGTGGGAGAACACGCAAACATATAGTCGAAATAATTAACATCACCGCATACACGAATTCAAGCACGACCATCACCACAAGTAGCACCCGTTCACGAGTATGACGCATGGCCAGCCATCGGCTGCTGTTTCTAGCTTAACAATAACTATTTAATAAGATTAAAAAAAATATTTCCTATTATTTATTACTACAACAATTTTTTTTACAAAAAACCCATCAAAATGCTCCTCTACGCAAGATGGCGTACAAACTTCAAGATTTTTATCTGTTAATTGTCATTATTTAGTTCAGACATAAATATACAGTATTTACAATATTCTTAACCTACAAAGTAATAATAATAATTAAAAAATGATGAATATATTGGCATTAGCATGTCCTCG